ACACTATGTCAGATGAACCCACTATCCTACAATTCATTGATCTTCAGCTCTTCCACCTCAACACGACTCATGCATTAAGTGGCAACCGAGATAAGCTGGGTACTTGACTAAAGATCTATAGTGAATTCAACTTCTTTGTCCACTGGCAGTTCTAGTAGTTCATCAGAAAATACATCCGAGAAGTCTCGAACTACTGAAATCTCTTGAATGCAAATTTCTTTCTTATGTTTGCTTAGTTAGAGAAAACAGTCGACTTAAAGCACTTGGTAATAAGAAAAGTGTCATGAGGGAATAATGTTTTAAAAAATTTATTAATTTGTACATGACTCTTCATTAGGAGGGTTGAATACAAGATTTTTGTGAAAATAATCTACAGTGGCGTGATACACAGCTAGCCAGTTCATTCATAAGATTACATCAAAGTTTTTCGTGTCAATCTCTATTAGATCCACACTTAATTTTATATCTGGTATATTTATGATACAGGCTCTATATATAACCTTTCCTAATAATGTTCTACTCTCAAGAATAGACACAAACAACACAAAATCAAGTCTTTTATGTAATACATTCAAATTTAGTGTAAAAACATATGAGATAAATGAATGTGAGGCACTAGTATCAATCAAAATATGTGTAAGATTATTACAGATAGTGTACGTACCATGTATAACGTCTGGGTTGCCTTCTGTATCTTACTAAGTGGAGTTGTAAGCTCTGCACTAAATATGAGGTCTGGCCTAATTCTGATTCCTCATACACTCTCTCGCATAATACTGGGCACTCCCACATATATGGCAAGTATTTTAGAGGCGATAGCAGGGTCGATCCCCATGATTCTTACCACAGTGTTGCAAGTCCTACCGTATCTTGTTGTCAAAATCTGAGGAGGAGCCTGAGTCATTGGCTTAGGTCTCTTGTTCTGCTGAACAGGTGTAGTGGGTGCTAGTCTGCGGTGTGAAACCGCAGGCCTGAGGTTTTCACTACTGAAGGTTCCTCTCTACTAGCTGTGCCTTGGCCAGAACGGCTGAGTAAGTACTGAGCTCGAATGAATACAGCTGCTGTCTAATCTCAGGACGAAGGCCCTACTCAAACTTCCTTGCCTTCATGCCTTCATCCATCATGCTCTCAGGGGAATACCGACCCAGCTCTATGAACTTTTGGGCATACTCTAACACAGTCATGTTACCCTAGACTAGGTGTACAAACTCTATTTTCTTCAGATGTAGGAGATACTCTAGAAGGTACTCTGTATTGAATGTCATCAGGAACTATTTCTAAGTGACTAGAACGAGCAGGGTGGCCTGCTTAAGTTGCCACCAGCGACTTGCCTCTCCCACCAGCATGTAGGTGATGAGTATAACTCTCTGTTCGAGAACCACCCCAAGAGTCGTGAAAGTGTTCTCTGTCTCAGCTAACTAATATTCAGCCTCTTCAAAGGAGGATGCCCCTGCAAGAGTAGATGGGTTTAGTCTTTTGTACCTCTCAATGTAGTTTGGGTCTATCATGGGTGAAATTGGGTCCTATGGAAGAGGGACTGGATTGTGCTGGGGAGGGACCGGATGGCCCTGTGGTGGTACTAGATGATATGGTGGAGGCATCAGATTATACTGTGGTGGTACCGAGTGATACAGTTAAGGCACGAATTATACTATGGTGGTGCCAAATGGTACTGTGGAAGAGCAGGGTTGTACCGGGGTGGCTCAGTATCCTCCTGCTGTAGGGATGGCTCAAACTGTGGTAGCGGGGGAGGGTCAGGTAGCTCCCTCCTTTCCTCCCAAGCTTGCTAGGTAGCGATGAGTCTCTTCATTATTTTAAATAGTTGGTCAACATCCTCTCGAAGCGAACCTTCCTAGGCTGCTCGATTTAGTAGGGGTCTTCATCTCCACATCTATCTATACCTACATTTTACAAGGAATGGTTGAGTGATAATTCATTTGTTTGGTGTTGCCTTAGGTTTTTGTGTAAGGAATGGTTCCAAGGAACGCGGCTCTGATACCAACTGTAAAGATCCAGAACTTAAAAGAAAATAAAGTCATAAATTAAATGCGGAAGCGAAAAAAATAAAGTTTAGGATTTATATTCCTTACACAATAATTTAGAATATCCAATAGGAATACGAAAATGTTTCTTCTAAAAGAACAAATGAAAATCAAAGAAATAAACAAAAGGAAAATAACTCAGTATTTTAGAACGGCTTTCACTAGCTTTTGAAGGGAGTTTGGGTAGTGAACTACTCACAATTCTCTTATTGATCGGGATTTGGATCTTAATCCTCTTGATCTAAAATAGTTAATAAAAAGGTAAACTACACTAACCTAGTAAAAATATCACACTACTCACCGATACAGAAATAGAAGGTTGGTAAAAAATCATAAAAATAACCAATGAAGTTCTTGATTTACGTAAATTTATTTACTATGAAAAAAAAATTTATTGCATATATTTACCGTTACGAGATTTTCAAAATTGACCTATAGAGACAATAACTCAAATAATATTTCAATCTCATTTTCAAGTGAGCAATAAAAACCATTTTTCCTTTTTTATTTGCCTACTGGTATCCTTGGGGGCCCATAAGGATGTCCCATTATGCATGAACCAATATCCAACATTTTCAACAACTGATCGTTCCCATACCCCGTCTGGTATGAGCACTAAAAATATCATCATTCAATACCCCATCCGGTATGAGGGTGAATCGGGTCCTCATATCTTGTCTAGTATGAGCGCCAAAAATACCATTCATCGATATCCCGTCCAATATGAGGTAACGTTCACGGTAATGTTCCCTATGTACCCGGTCCGTCCACCATCTCTTAGTATATCTAGTAAGACTACTATTCATTAATTCACATGACTAAACAATTTTTTGTTTGCATATTAATTTCTAATTTCACAAATTAACTGTAAATCATGCAAGACAAACAATATATATATCAAGAAAGCACAACTGAATCATTCAACTATTCCAGTATATCATTATATATTTAAAGTTGTAAATTCAACAATCAGTTAAACAGGACAATAAATAAATGATTAACCGGTTCCGGCTCCATTAGTAATCTATAATTATTTTCAAAAATTTTTAAATTATACAAAATATCATATTTCTGATTATTAAGTTTCAATTCCATAACAGATAATAAGGTGAGGGATTCTTACCCGAATCGGTGTCCGAAACATCGAACTTTGTACTGCGACTACTAGCAGTCCTCGGATTTTCTGAATTTTTTTGTGAATATTAAAACAAGTTTCACGTACCTAAAAATACCTCAAAAATTCAAAATCGGTGTTAAAAATCCTTTTTTAGCCAATTTCGGGATTCTAGCATGGCGGCATCACCGTGCTCCGGTGACAACACCAGCGTCCGCGGCAATGGTTTGTCTTGACTTCGCCGTTTTCAGCCAGTTTGGCCAGTTTCAGCCAGTTTTATACCAATCCCTGCGAGAAAATATATTAGGGGGTCTTAGTTGATCGAAAAAAGTAAAAAAATAAAAACCTATCGATGGTGGAATTTTTTGGTGTAGCAGCTCCACCGGCTCACCTTTGCGAATGGACGGTTTTCTTCGATCAACTTGTAGAAAACATAACTGTGAACATAACGGTGAAAAAATTGTACGAAATGGGAAACGGGACAAGGCTCATCGGAGGAGGTTGCGGGTTTTACCTGCTGCAGGGCTTTGCGCGATTTTTGGCTCTCATGCCGTTCTTTTTGCTCTAATTTGGCCATGGAGGTGCTCGGAATCAAATTATGAGCGAATAAGAGAATTTTTACCTTTTTTGGCGGCCGAAAGTGGCTTCAGCGCGGGGGCGGCAGTCGGCTCCCTTCTCTGATGACTGGTTCTTCTTCTCCGATGGAAGACTAGCGGCTAGGGTTTAGGTTCAGTGTGATACGAAATATTTATATTTATCTTGCGTTAATTTGGACTGTTCAATGCATTTGATCTTGACCGTCCGATTGCATTTAAAGAGAAAATGAATATGGACCGTTCATCACGATTTGATCTCGATCGTCCGATCATGTTTGAAGAGGGAACAGATCTGGAGCGTTCATCGCTTTAATCACGACCGTCCGATCACGCTTGAGAAGGGAACGGATCCGGACCGTCCACACGCGTGGAAATGCTTCTGGGCCGTCCGATCGCTGGGCACACAGATCGCCAGCTCGGCCTCTCGTGTGACACTGAGTTAGCGTGTCTTGTCACGCAACGCGCTCAGGTTCGTTAAGGCTGCTGACTGAACGGTCTTACATTGTAAAATTTTTTTTAATTGTGTTATGACCCTCAATTTTTAATTTTTCTTTCAAAAATAGTTATCTAAATATAAATTTACACATCTTTTTTTCAAAATTATTTTTAATTTTATTCTCAACTTATTTTTTCCATAATTTCACATTAAATTAAAATTTATTAATTTCGAAAAATAGATTTTTATGCATTTTTTTAAAGTTAAAATTAGTACCGAACCAAATTTTGGATTCGGATATTACATTATTTGTTAAGTTTGAATACTTTAAACCTATATATATATAGTTTTAGATAAAATATAATAAGTTATTTAAAAATGATAAATTAATGTTAGATAAAAAAACATGTTTATTTTAGGAGATGATTAAATAATTAGTTAATTAAATTAAAATAAAAATTAAATTTACGATTAAAAAATTAAAATACGTTGTTACAACTGAACTTGTTTTAAAAGACACTCCAAATTAGACAGAAAAAATATATATATCATATATTCCCGTCACAATTTTATTATTGGTTCTAATATTGAATTAAATTAAATTGGATTGGACTTATTTATATCAAAAAAAATTAATTGTTTAATTAAAAACAAAATTTAAAATAAGAAAAAAATTATTTTTTATTTTTGGATCATTTTGGTCTGTAATCGGGCCAGGATCTGTTTGATCCACTCTGATCGATTTTCGGACTAGATCCGGATCCGAATTTGAACACCCGACTCCTCCTCTTATTTTACAGTCTTCAGTTTCCCCCTTTTCCCAGAGGAAATTAAAGACGCCAATCTGAATAACAAGGAGGTTGGGAAGGATTTAATCGAAGAAAAATACGCCGACTGCAAATGGGGACGGCCGCCGGCGGCAGCGACGTGGAGGCCGGATTCGCTAAATTGCAGGGAGAGGACTTTGAGTACTACATGCAGACCTACTCAATCATGCTCGGCCGCAATTCCAAAAAATCGACCGTCGATGTTGACCTATCTTCCCTCGGCGGCGGAATGAACATCTCCCGTCATCATGCTCGCATCTTCTACGACTTCACGCGGCGCCGTTTTGCCCTAGAGGTCCTCGGGAAGAACGGCTGTTTGGTAGAAGGTGTTCTCCACCTCCCCGGTAACTCCCCGGTCAAGCTTGATTCCCAAGATCTGCTCCAGATCGGCGACAAAGAGTTCTACTTCCTGCTCCCTGTTAGGAGCATCCTTGGTGGACCAGTCGGGCCCAGGCACTATGTATCGGGCCATTCTGTTCCGAGTGCGCTCGTTCCTCATTACAACTATGATGTCGGCAGGATGGTGGGTCCCGCATCGGTCGGGCCGGGTACCGGGTCAGTGAAGAAGGTCGGACGGGGACGGGAGTACTATGAGGAGGAGTATGATGACGAGTATGATGTTGGGAGCAGCGGGAAGAAGTTGAGGAGAGAAGGGTACGATGGATATCCGGGTTATGGAGGTTCTGGTGGTGGTAGCTCCGCGGCAGCAGGTTCCGGTGGTAAGGCTGGGCTGCCTGGACCATTAGGTTTTTGATGTGGCCTTGTTTGCCAAAAGAAACAAGCTTATGATTTCACGACATATATGCTTAGCTACCTTGGAATCTTTAAGGAGTAGTTTCCTTTTAATCATATTATACATAGAAATACAGAGAATGTCAATATGTTATAAATGGTCTTCATTAATTTGTATGCATATATCATATATGCATCTTTGTCCAAGATGCTTCTTGTTCTCCACTTCCAATCTCAGTGTTTTTTGTGTTGTTACTGGTATAATTGCCTTTGCCTGGGAACTCTGGCATTCTTATAGCTCTTAGAAAGAACAAGAGTAAAGCTGTGCTGTTAAAACTAAATAATTTTGTCAATGGATTAATGGTTAAATTGTCGTGCTTTCTATGAGATTGTGCCTTTTGCTATCCTAAAGATTAGGAAGAAAACTCACCTTCGATGTTGCACATTGATGTTATCAGTAAGTTGTAATTTGTTCCCATTGCTGGCATACCTTTAATAGCTGTCTGCATTTGTCTCAGAGTCCTTGGGAAGTTTAACATGATTTTGTTAGATGAACAGTACTTCCACCTTAGCTTGTCTACCATAAACTGTTGGATGTATGATGACTTAGGATCAGTCGTGCTTCTAAATCATTGGTAGGCATGAAGATTAGTAATGCATCCAGAGGTTTTGAAATGTATCTGCGCCAACCACCAATACAATTTGGATTTCTGATTTGTGTAAAGCTAGTCTCCAGGGATGCCACCCTCTCGGTGCCTTTTTAATGTTCTTTCTTTCCTTAAAAAAATACCTATGATGTGGTGAAATTTCTCTGAAACTATTTTTTTACATACCTTTATGATTCATGTTCTGTGCATAATTCTTAAGGAAAACTGGAAACTAAGCAAGCTTTTAGCAAATTGTGTCGATTATCTGGCTATGGCCTAAGATTTGAGATATTGGCTACCTAAGTTCTCATTGTTTGGTAATATTTCTTTTTCGGTATTATTGGGAAATTTATAGTAAATTGAATCTCATTTATATGTATCAGATATGCTTTTTAGGACTTCATGAAATGGTGTGTTTTGGTGTTCCCTGATAGTTCTAATATCTTCATAATGGCTATTCCATTCTACTGAAATGATCAAATAGAAGATGCAGGTCAACGTTTGGACGTTTCTCCTTTACTATTTCATCTTTAAGAATCAACCTAATAATTCTCAACGTGCTTGTGTGATGATAGGATTTCCCTCTTCTCTTTGCAACTTGAATACCTTAATAAATTTTTATATAGAACATCGCTTCCTGAGTAATATGGGCTCTATCATTGGCATGATATTATCTCCATTTTCTGCAGAGAAGAAGGGGGAGGGAAGATCAAGGGTCGATCGAGAATCAGATAATCAACAACTTCTGCAACTAGAAGAAAAGGATGTGGTGTCATCTGTAGCTACTGTGCTCTCTGATCTTTGCGGTCCTGGAGAATGGATGCCAATGGAGAAACTTCATGCTGAGGTTGGTCCAAATAATATTTTTGAGTAACTTTAGTTAATTGGGCACTGTTCTTAAATTACTGGAACCTCATTATCTTATCAGGCGCATGGAACCTACATAGTCGGTTGGACTTATCATTATTGCATTTACCAATTTGTTTTGAATATCTTTGAACAAATGTGGGAACGCCCTAATTCTGTAGGCAGCAGGATGCTGTATATAACATTAACAATGACCGTGCCTCGGAAGCATGTTGAGAACAAACCTGATATTTTTCATGTTCAGCAATATGTCATGAAGGTTTCTCAGGAATGTAAATAGAGTTAATACCCAGGAAGGAAGAACACTAGAATGCAGTAGACAGACTGAAGGGAAACAAAGATGAAAGAGAGAAGAAGAGAATCATGAAAATAAGAGTAGCATTAGTTGAATAATTCTGGATTTGTATCTGCGTAGTTAGTAACTTTTATGTAGGCAATAAGTAGAACCATGTAAAAACAATAAAGTAAACGATCAAAAGTTTCTATATCCTAACCAACTTCAAATTTCCCAAGCCCTAAGACTACCATCTCCTTAGATGTTTTAGAAATACTAAAATACTTAAATAAGTCCTACCAGTAAAACTTTTCCATTTTATTTCCTTCTCATTCACCATCACTTTCCTTTGAGTTGCACCTGATTTCTGCTTGGATAATTAGTACTAACACCACCAGTATTAAGTTTGCTCC